TCCCACCTATAACTCAAGGTGCCTCCCACCTCCCACCTATAACTCAAGGTTCCTCCCACCTATAACTCAAGGTTCCTCCCACCTATAACTCAAGGTTCCTCCCACCTATAACTCAAGGTTCCTCCCACCTATAACTCAAGGTTCCTCCCACTATAACTCAAGGTTCCTCCCACCTATAACTCAAGGTGCCTCCCACCTATAACTCAAGGTGCCTCCCACCTATAACTCAAGGTGCCTCCCACCTATAACTCAAGGTTCCTCCAACCTATAACCCACCTATAACTCAAGGTTCCTCCCACCTATAACTCAAGGTTCCTCCCACCTATAACTCAAGGTTCCTCCCACCTATAACTCAAGGTTCCTCCCACCTATAACTCAAGGTTCCTCCCACCTATAACTCAAGGTTCCTCCCACCTATAACTCAAGGTTCCTCCCACCTATAACTCAAGGTTCCTCCCACCTATAACTCAAGGTTCCTCCCACCTATAACTCAAGGTTCCTCCCACCTATAACTCAAGGTTCCTCCCACCTATAACTCAAGGTTCCTCCCACCTATAACTCAAGGTTCCTCCAACCTATACTCAAGGTTCCTCCCACCTATAACTCAAGGTTCCTCCCCCCTATAACACCTATAACTCAAGGTGCCTCCCACCTATAACTCAACCTATAACTCAAGGTTCCTCCCACCTACCTATAACTCAAGGTTCCTCCCACCTAAACTCAAGGTAACTCAAGGTTCCTCCCACCTATAACTCAAGGTTCCTCCCACCTATAACTCAAGGTTCCTCCCACCTATAACTCAAGGTTCCTCCCACCTATAACTCAAGGTTCCTCCCACCTATAACTCAAGGTGCCTCCCACCTATAACTCAAGGTTCCTCCCACCTATAACTCAAGGTTCCTCCCACCTATAACTCAAGGTGCCTCCCACCTATAACTCAAGGTGCCTCAAGGTACACAGGGAGTCGAGGGACAGGAGACATGTAGAGAGGGACACGAGGATGTAAACAGTGCCGCTTCCTACTTCCTGGTTGTTGGGGAGAGATAAGGAGCAGTGGTGCTTCCGTGGTCCTCTTCCGCTGTGTTCCAGGGGCAGTCTCAGACCCTGTCACGCTACACTTACGTCAAGAAGGTGTAGTATACACCTGTGGAGCAGTATGCTGAGGGACTAAGTATAGCAGTATACCCAGGGGGGGCTATGTGTGGTGATACGAAAAAGTGTTATAAGTAGCGACACACACAAATGCTATAAGTAGCGAGATATAGAAGCGCTATATGTAGCGACACACACAAAACGCTATAAGTAGCGACTTACAGAAGCGCTATATGTAGCGAAACACACATACAAACACTATAAGTAGCGACATACAGAAGCGCTATATGTAGCGACACACACAAATGCTATAAGTAGCGACTTAGAGAAGCGCTATATGTAGCGACACACACACAAACGCTGTAAGTAGCGACTTACAGAAGCGCTATATGTAGCAACACACACAAATGCTATAAGTAGCAATATACAGAAGCGCTATATGTAGCGACACACACACAAACACTGTAAGTAGCGACTTACAGAAGCGCTATATGTAGCGACACACAGACAAACACTGTAAGTAGCGACTTACAGAAGCGCTATATGTAGCGACACACACAAATGCTGTAAGTAGCGACATACAGAAGCGCTATATGTAGCGACACACACACAAACACTGTAAGTAGCGACTTACAGAAGCGCTATATGTAGCGACACACACACAAACACTGTAAGTAGCGACTTACAGAAGCGCTATATGTAGCGACACACACACAAACACTGTAAGTAGCGACTTACAGAAGCGCTATATGTAGCGACACACCAGAGTCTGCTCAGTACCACGGGTCAAGACCTAATTTATGGCTATTTTATGAGCTCTTGGCGGAAATATTTTCGGTTAGCCATCAGTTTGTTTAAAGGCAAACTATCTTAACAATATTTCTATCTAAACAAGGTAAACAAAAAAATATATATTCCTAGGCCTGGTATAGTCTACATATGTGCTATATTAGGACTCTAGGCCTAGGACGGTTAAGTTAGGGTTTATTACCAACATAAATACAAAACCTTTTCTTAAGGTGTGTCCAGATTCAATAGTACCTAATTCTACTTTCTAATTGTCCAATACGTCAATATATTTACAATGGGCAACACAGTTACTATAAGTACTATCTAAGTAGGAGGACAAGGATCTGGGGTATGAGGACAAGGAGTTGGGATATGAGGACAAGGATCTGGGATATGAGGACAAGGAGTTGGGATATGAGGACGAGGATCTGGGATATGAGGACAAGGAGTTGGGATATGAGGACAAGGATCTGGGATATGAGGACAAGGAGTTGGGATATGAGGACAAGGAAATGAGACATGAAGAATGATGCCCAACCTCTTGGACCATCGGGGATCGAACCCCGGTCTTGCATCGTCACTCACCGATCAATCCACTTGGTTGCTCTCTGAGGGCCAT